ACTAAACACTAGCTGTCTTTCCTGGGGTTCTTGCCATTCCTCTTTAGAGAGTGAGGGAGGAGAAAGTATTTTGGACAAGACTTCTGGAAAGGAGTAGTCACCACACAATGAGGTAAGCACTCCGGAAGCCTACGGGGCAAGATTGAGGGGGCGAGTTATGAGGAGGCCTGACAGGCAAGCTACCGATGTTGAAGACAAGATGTTAACACAGGCAAGAAATAGGGCTTGAGGCAAAGGGACTCGCCACACTCCCTTCTCCCTTGGCCCCAGGCATCCTGGTGAGATTCATACTTCCGCATAACCAAGTTCTTCCCCTTTCGGTAAACACAGCACTCATGAGGTTGTTTATGGATTCCTAAAGTAATTCCTTTGCCAATAGGGCCTAAATGGCGAGTACACCTTTACTCACTCATTCCAAAACCTGTCCAGGGGTTTCTAGAAGCCTCCTTGGGCCCACCAGGCACAGAGAGCTTGGGAGTGCCTTTCTGGTCTGTAACATCTGGAGATGATCCCTGAATGCTGACAAGTAATTTACCGAACACCTGACAATAGGCAGCAAGGCCTGTGAAGTCAGAGACTTTGGATGGAGCCAAGCTCTGTTAGGTTCTTTCACTTTCTACTTGTATGCTTTGAGAACCTTAATTAATTTCTGTGCACCTCTAGCTGACCTTTGTTCAAAAGGGATAAACATTTCATCCTCATCGGTTGCGGAGAACATTCGAAGATGTGTGAACTGCAATGTTCTTAAGTGATCAGTAGCAGGTGGTGAATTTTGCGGCCCCAATTGAGCTGGGATTTCTGTGGTGCATTGAAAGTAAAAAGCCGGATGCTGGTTTCAAGAAGCCTCCCACATAGTAGAAGAGTTAGGCCCACCGGAAAATCAACAAAACTTCAGAGTAAGAACTATAGTAGTAGGGTATAAGGTAAGAAGGTAGAACAAACAAGAAGGAAATTAGCTCAGTGGTAGGTTGAGGTGACCATTGAAGCCATGGCAGGAGGCCCAACTTTGGCTAATGTGCAGCCAAAACATGGATGACCAAGATTTCATCAAGGATTGCCAGCTGTCTGTTTCCCAGTCTCCTTGATTTTAAGTCTTGCTTTGAAAACAAAAGGCTTTCTATTAAAATCAAAAGGCTCCTCTCTTAAAAATGCCTTGGATTTTAAAATAATCTGGTTCTTGTCACCATAGAAGTATACGATTGAAAGCTAGAGTTCAAGAAACTGGAGACGATGATGAAGGGTAAAGTTAAGAACCTAAAGGGTATAAGTGGAAGCCAAAAAGTAGGAATTCATATTTTTGAGGTCCTAATATGACTACCAAACACTGTCAGGTACTCAATACCTTACATAATTCTCAAGCAACCCTGTGACAATTTTACTGCCCCTCTTTCACGGATGAGAAAACTAAGACTAAAGGCATTTCAGATGTGTGAGCAGCACTGTATAGTTCATTAGTGGTAGAATCAGTTTTTAATTTTGATTCCAAATCTCATGGTTTTTCTATAGTACCAGGCAATTTTTCAAATATGTGTGTACACATGATTCTGCTCCTCCCATCTCCAAAAAGCCTGGCATTTATTAAGTTGTTTATGGTTCTCTAAATTAATGCTGTTGCCAACACAGCTTAAACAGAGACTGTATTTTAAACATAAACATGAGACGTACCCTTGAGTCACAGAATCCTTCAACATACCTTATTAATGGCCTTGATAATTGGCCTCCTTGTAGCTTTGTTTTTTGCAATGTGGCTTTGTAGCTTCTCTCACTGGGAGATAGAATCTATTTTCCTTTAAAACTGGGCTGTTGTTCTTCTGACTGTCTTTGGCCAGTAAAATATAGCAGAATACTAGAACGCTATGCTTCTTCTGGACCTCTATCTCCAAAGGCCCTGTGGACGTCACCTCTCCCTTAGATTCCTGCCAGGTTAGACTGGTCATCTGGCAGCATAAGAGACACATGGAAAAAAGTTCTGGGATCCAAGCTGAAGCCATCCTAGACCAGAGGGCTACAGATAACCAATTTGTGAATTGGGCACACATGTCTGAGTCAATCAGCCCTTCCCCAGGTCAGCAGCAGATCAGATCACCAATGAGTTGACTCATGAGGAATAAGTAAATGTTTGTTGTTTTAAGCCACCAATTTTGGAGTGGTTTTTAATCCATCAATAGTGAATGGGTACAATCAAAATTAATTTTCTTTCCAGTTAGAGGCCAATAAAAGCAAAGCATGTATCATTTCAATGTGTCTTCCAATGTAAAGTGATTGTTCCCTAGACCTGGTGGACAGCTGTCTCTTTGGGCTCTCCCTGTATCATGTTAGGAATTCCCTTTCCTTTGTTTTCTGAAACTCATGGCTTCTGCTTTCATGGTAACTCCCTTGATTTGGCAGTCCCAGTGGGACTCACCTGGTAATGATTGAGTGGATTTAAAATCTGACAGATTTTCATTCCACTTTTTTTTTTTTTTTTTTGAGACAGGCTCTCACTATGTAGTTGAGACTGACCTGGAACTCACTATGTAGGCCAGGCTCGTCTCGAACTCACAGTGATTCTCCTGCCTCAGCCTCCTGGATGCTGGGATTATAGGCGTGCACCACCATGCCTGGTGACCCTTTTCTTAATTTGTGGTTTAGCTAAATTAGAGGATCTACCTTGAAAATAATTCCCTCTGAATTTTGAAGGCAATCTTAACGACCATCTACCTTCCAATGTGGCTGTTCAGAAGTGTGGCTCTATTCTGATTCTTGACCCTGTATATGATGCTTTTTTTTTTTCCTAGAAACTTACAGAATCACCTCTTTGCTACAAATGTTAGTATATTTATGATGGCATGCCTTAGCGTGTGGGTTTGTTTTCATCTGTTGTAATAAGCATTCAATCCTGAGTCAAAAGATTCATGTTCTTAAATTCTGGAAATTTCCATTTATTTATTGGATGATTTCTTCCTCTCCATTTGCTCTTTCTGCATCTTGCATTTTTTTGCATGTTAGATTTCTTGGAATGGATCTCAATCTTTCTGATGTATTCCTGTTTCCGTTACTTTGTCTTTGTTCTGTTTTCAAAGCTTATTATCTTCTACTTTATCTTCCAAGACTTCTGTTGAGTTTATTTTTAAACCTGTGCCTTCATGTTTACATCTTTAAAAGCTCCTTTTTGAGGTATTGTCTGAATGTTCCTTGCTGTTTGAGCATTGTGTTCTCCCTTTATAGATAACACTATTTGCTCTTACTCTACTGAAACTATTAATGATCTTTTTAAAGAGCACTTTCTTCCGTGAATTGTCTCTGACTCTTCTAAACTGCCTTGTTTTCTTCAGCTCCTGTCTTTAATATTAGGTGTTTTCTGCAGGTTCCCAGTGCCCCTAGTGGTCACCTATGTGTAAATTGAGCTACAGACAGCTGATTGGGAATCCTTTGGGCTTCTTGAGGTGAGAGGTGGGAACTTCACTGTATATTGTTTTGCTTGTCCATTTCCTCGGGTCACTGCTGTTTTGGTATCTTTAGGGTTTTTTCTCAGGCTTATCCAATTCCCCGGAAAGCCCGAGCTTGCCCCTGGAAACACGTCTGGCTGCCAGTGTACCGGAAGCCAAAAAGAAGGGGAACACCTAGCAGCTTCAACATTCCTCACGGAGTGGGCTCAGTTTGTCCCCTTGCCCCTCAACCAGACCCTGTTTCGCCCACTCTATAGAGTCGATGTCTGGCCTTCTGCCAGGATTGAGAAAGCACAGCTGTGCAGAGCAGGGAAAGGGTCTGCAGTTCCGACTGCTTCTTAAACAGACCTTAAGTTTCTTTCTAATCCAAGCCCACCTTTTCCATCACTTCCAGAGTAGGAGGCAAGGATTTGGCTCAGTGGTTCTGCAGCTTGCCTCCCAAGCCAAGTGCAAGGGCCCCAGTTTGAGCCCCGGTACCCCCCGCCCCCCAAAAAAGGATGAAGTAGATAATTCTGCTAATTCCCAAGCATTTGGGGGATTCTGCCACATAAACTTGGTTATTTCTCAGCTTTCTCCATTGCTGCTTTAGGATTCAGCTGTTTTACCTTTATTTAATCAGTTACCAATTGAACACTACTTTTCTGCTTCAAAGTCTTATTGCTGTCATCTCTTCTTCCGATATCTTCTACCTGGTTCACTCCTTGTGAGAGTATGGTCCCTGTCTTTACAGGACTGTATGAAGGAATGGAAGTAAGAATGCCCGCACTCCTCTCTTTAATCCCAGAGTAGTTCTTGCTTTTAAAGAATTATCACCGGGCTGGGGATTTAGCTAAGGGATGCTGACACCTGCCTTGCAAGTGCAAGGTCAGGAGTTCGATCCCCAGTGCCAAAAAAAGCATTTCACTTCTTTCTCCAAAACAAGACGTTAAGTGATGGAAATCCATATAATTTTTCCTTTAGAAAAAAGGAGTGTGAGGCTTCAGTAACCTCTGAAAGCTTTTATGGTTGTTTCCATATTACACAGACATGCAGATCATACCAGTTCTGCCCCCGCAACCTCCCAGTCCACCTTAAATTAGAGACTCCTGAGTCCATTTCATTTAGCCTTTTAATGTAAGCCTTTTAATACTTTCCAATAAGAACTTTCAACTTGGCAATAAACATATCATGCTTTCATCAATAAATATACAAAAACCAGAGAGAGGATGTGCTCTGAAAACTCAAAGTAATGGTAGCAATGGTCATTGTATGTACATGAACAACTGGCTAATTTCTGAAAAATAAACATAAAGGACTTACAAACAGACACACCTACAATGTAAAACTGAATGGACCATATTATCATTTTTCTTTCTTTTTTTTTTTTTTTTTTTTTAAATAGAGGTAGCAATGGAGTATGTATGTGGATTTGTGTTGTCCAAAATAAAAAAGTCCATTGTGTGTGCATTTCTTTTGTTTTGTTTTGCTTTTGGTGCCAGGGATCGAAATCAGGACTTTGTACTTATGAGGCAGGTGTGGTGCCACTGAGCTAAATCTCTGGCCCTCCCCATTCTCTTTTTTGAGACAGGCTCTTGCTTGAACTTGTGAGCCTTCTGCTTCTGCTCCCCCCACCCCAAAGTCCTGGGATTATAGGTGTGCCAGTTTGGGTCATGTTATTCCTGTTCCTAAGTATATTTTACTCTTCCAGAAGAGTTGGATATTTCTTCTATTCTGCAGTAACAGGATTAAATAAATGTTGGCTAAAAAAGTGGTTCTTGGTGCAATGGATCTCAATGGAAAACTTTTTGAGAGGTTCTGTTGGAAAAATCCATTTTATCAGGCTAGAATCTGTAAAATGTATTATTGAAAGTATCTTTGGCATCCTTCAAATTTTTACCCAGAGTTAATTTAAAGAAAGCCCTCAGGAGACAAGAAAGATTTATAGTTGCAGGAAAATGTACATGTTAAGCTCTTAGGGTGCTTTGCAAAATAAATGCTGGCCTCTTACTTTTATAAATAAGACCCTGTGTAAGGACTTAGCTCAGGTCACCTGCCAAGTCACTGGCAGGAAAGATGCATAATCAAATTGTCCTAGTGTCATGGCTAAAAAAAAAAAAAAAAAAATCTCTGTATTAACCCACCACTGATCTAAATTGGAAGTTGTTTTCCTTCTTCTTTTGTTATTTAAGAAACATTCCCAATTAAGCATATCAGTTCAGGCAACAAGTGACTTTTCTGGAGGTCTGAGGAAATCAGATCCCAGTTTACAGAACCCTTTAACTGTACAGATTCAGTCTGTATGATTACAAGTAGTCTTTGGGAATTCCAGGACCAATGGGAAAGCCTGACTGATGAAGAAATGTCATGGAAAACTTGTTAACTCGGAAAAAACATGAGGTCAGAACAAAGAGCCTATTCATTCATTTAGCCATAAACCTGCTCATCTTGCGATAAGATTCCAATAGTGGGAAGCCTATAACTTGGGATTCCCCACATGCTTAACTCATCTGGAGGGGCAAGTGCATACAGACAATGTCGAAGGATAAACAAATACAGCCATAAACATAGTCAAACAGGATTTACACAGCATTCCACCTCACCAGCTTGTGCTAATCAGTTGGCCCCGACTCTTCTTTCATTTCTGTTGGCTTCTCTTTTTAAAACAAAATGTCAAAAGGCATTTGCCTGTTATTTTTGGAAATCACTAAGAGAATGAGCATCTGCAAAATGGGACTCCACAAATGATGGGTCATGCACATGAAATGTGGCTTTTCAAAGCCTTTCAGGGGAGAGAGAGGTGGCTACTGAAATGGAAAAATGGCAGGAGCTCTTCTGCTCACAGTTCTGATTCCAGAAAAGCAGAGTAAGCCTTTAGACCTCTTTAGAAACAAAATAGTGCTGTCTTCCTTGATCTTCTAGGCAATTTAGCAGAGTGGGGGAAAGGGGGCCTATGAGCTGAGTTTAGGGGACTATTCTCAGCTCTTCATGAAGAGCTATCGAGATCTGGACCCTGCAGTTTAGAAAGTGAAAGATCACAGCACAAAGGGTTAAGATGGAAAAAGTATAGATGTTTATTGCGAATTAGCTTAAACCCTTTTGTTCCTTTGACAAAGTAATCTGGGAAAAAAGTCATACTCATCGAAGGATGTTCAGGGTTTAATATTTCAAAAACACAGATAAATAGCTTACTACAGATAAATAGCTTCACCCTTTGGGTTTCTCCCCGAAGCAACACATAAACTTCCAGGGCATCTGTAAGAGAGGATGTGCACCTGGAACACCGCAATCTCCTGCCCCACTGGAAACCAATGACCCAGGATTAGGCTACTGGAGAAGCAATATGGACCCATTCAAATTTCCTCCCAGGAACCAATCCTTCCTGGCCCCAGGAACCAATCCTTCCTGGCCCCAGGAACCAATCCTTCCTGGTCCCAGGAATGTCCTTGGCTGGTGGCTGTTACCTGGCAGGTGGGGCTTGGGTGGGGGGTGGACTCTCGTTTCAAAAAGCAATGCTGTTTTTATCAACTGGACCTGACTTTAAAAAAAAAAAACACAAAAACAAAAAGGAATAGAAAAATTTATGCTAAAAAATGATCCCCAATAAAACAATCAGTAGCACATTGCATCTGTTAAGTGTCCCAGGTCCCTGTAATGGTTGTGTCTCCAACTGTGGGGTTTTTTTCCAAGATAATGGTGTAAATCTTACACCCCAATCTTCATGTCCACATTTTGCAGGTTCCGTGTCTCGTCAGCTGTCATAAACTGGTCTGGGGTCTCTGATGGTTCCTTGTTCACCAAATGCACCATTTCCTGAGACTTGCTGGCCTCTCCATTGAGTCCACTTGGCTTTCTGTCCTCCACCGCTCCATTGCCATTGTTGATCACCAGCTTTTTCTTCTGCCCACACCTGATAATATAAAAGAATTATGTTAGAAAGGGTACAGTGACTCACACCTCATCACTATGATCATCATCACTGATCTTCACCATGGTCATCACTAATTTGATGGTCTTAATATGGGCCGAACACTCAACTTATTCAATACTCTTGCTACTTTATCTTACTGAATCTTAGCAATCAGTATTTATGAAAGTGGACCAGCAGCAAAAGTAAAACCTGTGACCCTGTGAGAAATGCAAATTTTCAGTTCCACTCCAGATCTACTGAGTCAGAAAACTCTAGGCAGTGATCCCCTATTGGAGGTTTAACAAGTCCTTGGGGAACAACTGAAGCACAAATATAAGAATCAATGTCCAGAACTCTGGGAATCCAGTGCTACTATAACCCACTACTATAGTAAAAAAGAGCATGGGAGCTGAGATTTCAGGATCTCCTCCATGTTACTCAACAATCAGTCAGAGTAAGGACTCAGACTGCTCTGATCCCCAAGTTCTAATTCTCCTTTTATCGTACTACACAATGGAAATATTTGCCTCTTTTAAGTACTTCAGCAGTTCCTGCAAATTTAGAGAAGCCATCAACATGATCACATGATCACTATTAATCATTCTGAACTGTGTATTTAAGAAAGTCCTACTATTTCCTTTTCCCATTAACACTTTGTTGGCCTTGTCAGTATTCTACTGCATATATAGAAAAGAATCAGAAGACATTGTTCTAGAAGCATAAGGTCACTCATTGATTTGTTCCTAACATTGGCTAATTTTTATATAACCCTGGATGTAGAAGATTTAACAACCTAAGACACATTATTTACTGTAACTTTAAGGTTTCTCAGAAACTACTTGAGATTCAAAAGTGTAAGAAGGTCTTCTACGTGAAAGCATGATGTTGACTTTGACCTTGAGAAATGCCATACCATTGCTTCATACCTCCCAGCCCAGTGCTTGCTTCTTTTTTCCTGTAACACAATCACTGTCACCCATATAGCAGCTAGACTGTGATTAACAGAAAGATTCACAGCTGCATAACTACAAGCAAATTGGGACGAGCAGAGATGAATTGCCATTTATTGAGTACTTCCTGAATCCCAGATGTGTTAAAAGTAATTTTCTGTAATCTTTACAATAATCCTGTAAAGCAGCTTTTTCTCCCCATTATACAGCAGTAGAGACTGAGACTCAGAGAAGTTTAAAAACTAGTTTGATGTCGTACAAGGGGTGAAACTGACCATATTCAAACCTAGACCTTTATGACAAGGGACCTTTCTAGACCTTTCTGCCTTGCTCTATCAATCAATGCTGCCAACCATCTGGAGATTTGGATGCATTATGAAGTCAGAATTGTTCACTTTGCCACTGGATGTTTGGAGTTGCAGAGACAAAGCCTCCATTATTTATTATCATGGGCCATTCCTTGTAGAACTGCCAAAGCCATAAACTTTAATCTCTTGTTTGGGGAAACAGAAATTTTACCTCTCCAACAGGAGGTAGAGCCTATATCCTCTGGCAGGAGGCTTTGTGAAAGGTGGAGGGAAAGATGCTTGAAATGTGACTTGTAAGAGCAGGGAACATGGATGGAGGCCACATAGACAGTAAGGTGTATGGTCAAGAGCAGAGCCTTGAAGTTTTGGTTGTTAGACCTTAGAGTTGTATGCCCGGGGGATACTCCCTTAACCTCTCTGAGCTTGTTTTCCAACCTGTAAAATCGGGCTGTTAAAAGTATCGATCTCATAGAATGGTGAAAAGCCCTTGGCACAGAACCTGGAACTCAATAATAAATCTATTGTTATTATTATTCGTTGCTCTAATGAACAGTGTGGGTTGAGGAGATGAAGGCCTTGCTTAAGTAGTTAGAACAGTATCTGGAATACAGTCACCATTCAAGAAATGCTGGCTGTAATTGTTAATGCAACTAGAGCCTATGAATGGTCTTCACTGGTCTCTGGCTGCCTCCACCTACCTTGTTTTACACACTCTGAGGTCGGCTTAAAAGGCTGACTTAAAAGTAGACTACTGTGGCTTGTATTATTTCAGATTCTCAGGTGGTACCCTGTGTTCTTTGGAGAAACATTGCCTAACTGAAGTAATTTCTATTTGCCTGCCTTATGGATAGTTGAGAGATGGGAACAAAACATTGTGGGAAAGTGATCTGTAAGTTTGGAAAACGGTGCATGCAATGGGGCGAGGATTAATATTAACTCAATTGAAGCTGATTTTGAAAATGGTAACCCTTGGCCTGTAGAAAACAGGAACATTGTATTAGACCTTTGGCATATACCATTTCCCCTTGGATTCATGTGTCTGAGTTATTTCAGGAGGCAAAATGATTCTCAGGCCAATATTAAGTTCTCTAGACATTTAATCTGTACCTTTAAGAGGCAAGTTATAAATTTTAAAGATTTTTCTTAGTTACAGGAAACTGGAAGGAATGTGAGAGCTGAGAAGTCTTTAGAGATCATCTGGTCTAGCTTCTTCATTGTGTAAAATGGACACAGAGTCCAAGAGGTCATGGGTATTATCCAAAGCCTTGCATATAGCTCGCTGCCAGAATCATAGCTTAGATTTTCTATCTCCAAAGACCAGAAAGCCTCACTGAATTGCATCTTGCAGCCTGTGTCTCCTCTTCCCTTACATCTTGGGGGTTTTCTGGACACACAGTGTCCACACAGTGCAAAAGGACCCAAACTGAGATCTCAGGTAAGTTGGAATAGGTTGGGTAGGATTTAGAATGCAGGGATGTATCTCAAAAGACTTAGGCAAGAAATTTAACAACTGATTTCATGTCCCTTCTACGTGGAGGGGACATGAAATTCCTGAAAGATATTTATGGATTTCTTACACTGTTTTAGGTCTGTGCCATCCCGTATAGTAGCCACTAGCCACATGTGGCTATTATACTTCCAAGCCCCGCCCAGTCCTGCATCACAGCCTCAAAGCCAACACTTTTCTGCTATCGCTCTTGCAACCATAATTTCGGTAATTATGACTGGCTCTGAGGCTGTTTTCCACTAGCAGTCACCAACCCCGATTTAGCAGTGGCTCTACTGCCACTGAATCTCAAGATTCTTTTAGAGAAGTGATGGTACTTTTTGTTGTCTCTCCTCTCTTCCTCATCAGTGCTAATAGTCAGAGGAGCCACTCCAAAGATGTTTGCTGAATAAATGAATGCCCTTTGGAGACCCAGCTAAACTTTCTTTGATGGAAATAGGATTCTGCATATCTCTTAAATATCACGCTCAAAGCAGAAAGGCCCCAGCCTTCTAAGAGGATTAGAAATGGGCTGTCAGCTGTAAGCACGCTGCATACATTCAGGGAAACATGCAGCCCTTAACCACCCTTTAGCTGCGTAGCAAATCTGTTTTCAATTATCAAATCAGGACACAGTGATTTATGGCATCCAAACAGCTACTTTCCCGGTGAGATACTTGCTGTGCCGAATCCTGGCTGTCCCTGTTTGCCTGTTGCTAGGGTGACTGCTGGTCTTGGGTGGAGGGGGAGGGGAGCCATGGGGCTCCTCTGCTCTGACAAGACAGGGAGCGACTTGGGAGCTAACCAGCTGCAATGTAACGACTCCAGCTGCTCTGGGGACAGTTAAGATGCTTCTCAGAGGGCTCCCCACGTCCACAGCGTCCAGGCCAAGTTGCCATGGTGACATCTGCACAGCTTATGGACTGAATCTGTGAGCCAAAGTGCTACATTCTAGGGCCTGGAACAAAAAGGGCTGATTTCAAACAAAAGGAAATTCATATTTAATTAAGCAAAAGTAATCCAAGGGAAAACAAGGAAGCTGGGGGTAAGTACAAAGACTCTTTGTAAGGGCTTTCCCAAGTCTCATTTAAATTCAACTAAAAAAAAAAAACAAAACAAACTCTTTCCATTTAGATGTAGGAGCCCATTGGAGTCTTTCAGATTTTTCTCCTAGTTTTTCTTCCTTATGGGAATCAGCTATTATGACGAATTCTTTATTATGCTCCCAAATATATAGACAGCAACACAGCTATTTGACTTTAATGTAGCACTTTTATTAACTTGTTAGAAGCATAAAATGGCATCATTTGATGTCTTTGGATAATTAGAAAAATTGCTAAAATTGCAAAGGCTGTGCATGGCACTGGAGTTAGATGTCTATTGCTTGTTAAGAGCCAACAGCACAGAGTTTATAATTCTCTCAGGGGCTTCTCCCAAACTCAGGGGCATTTCTGGCTTGTGGGATGATTGAGAGGCACAATAAACGTGGCCCTGCTTGGAAATAAAACTCTCTTACCTTATAAGAAGCAATCTCCAGGGATGTTTACAAAAAGTTAGTGCTCTTATGCACATGCTCATAAAATGAATTTATTTTTATTTAAAAGTGGGAAATTTATTTATTTAAAAATCCACTTATTTAAAGGTAGCAAATTAGACTTGTAGTTTTAAGATACCTCTGGCTAAAGTTCATTTTCTCCGTTGGCAGAACGATTACTACTTTGCCTCACTTTAGTTAGTATTATTTCTGGAGGCTGGTCATGGTTCAACCAAGTATATGCATCCTGTAAATAACTTTGTAAATGTGAACCTTTGGTTGAGCTAGGGAGAGAAAGGGGCCTTTAAGCGTATAAAATCTTAATTCACTTTCTGTATGGCTTGACTCAAGATGTCCTCCAAAGCCTCCTGTGGTTACAGATGGGGCTTTTCAGAGGTGGCTGGACCTAGAGAGTGTGATGTTGGTTTAAGAATGTGGTTCTGGGATTGACTCACAGTGCAGTGCTAGGATTAAGGGTGCGAGGATTATGGGTATGAGATACAACATAACAGACAGAAATGGCTGCTGCTGTCACAGCAAGCACTTTTCTTGCTGCTGCTACTTCTGCCTGCTGTACTATGGACTGTTTCTTCTCTGTGATGCTCCTGTGCCATACTTTCGTGCCTTGGAGCCAGCTGACTTTGCACTGAAACCTTGACGGACTGTAAGCCAAAATAAACTTTTTCTCCTTTAACTTTGGGAGTTGGGTATTTTGTCTCAGCAACAGGAAAAGTAACTGAGACACTTTCTGAAAGAAAGTCCTTCACGGTTCCGAAGCTCTTCCTAGGCTGTGACCTGAGCCCTTCCAACTTCAGTTTTCAGAAAATAGAAAATAACATCATTATAAAAACAAGCAACAGACAAAATGAAAAACCATCATCTGCTGCAGGTAAGGGCTGTGGACAATTCCCTGGACCTCAAATGGGCTGACAGACAGCAATGACCAATCAGTGACCACTCAACCCCTGAATCATTATACATTTTGTGCATCATTAACGCACTTAATAAATACTTGCTTAACAAATCAGTAAGTACATATTTTTATATGCCTTTATGGTGAGATATTTTGTAACTTTTATCAGAGTACCCAGTTTAACCATGAAAAAATTAAGAACCATAAGATTCAACCAATATGTAAGAATCCAAATAATTACAGATGTTTCCGTTTGCATGCACAAAAAGTTCTTGGGATCTTGTTAAGTGAGACTCTGGGCTTGTGTCTGAGATTCTCCATTTCTAATAAACTGCCAGGGTGCTGAAGCTGCTGGTTTCAGGCACTATACTATGAGCAGCAAGGATGGAAAGCCTCAGTTTAAAAGATACTCTTCAAAATTGCAGGCCCCAACGAGCAGCCTCTTACCTTCTCCGACTGTTGACAGCGATGCAAACAGCAAGAATCAAAGCCAGGGCCAAGAGAGATGCCAAGATGATGAGCCATTCTGGTGCAAGTGAAACAAAAGGCATGTGTGAACATCAGAAACAAACTTTGGAAAACAAAAAATGCAACTGGAACATCGGCCTTGGCTAAACAAGGACTACAGTCAGCACTGTAGAAAGGCTTGACCAAAGGGTCCAGCCAACCAGCGTCTCATTCTAAAAGAGTGATTTTGCTACAGGAGTTGGTTCAACAGAACTTTCATACTAATCTTTTATCATCAGTCAGGATTTTCACAGTCCTGCCTGGAAAAATAGGTTTCTAAAACCATAGAGAATGAAACTTGTTGAAACTTGTAGATGCTTTTGGTGCAGTGTCATTAAATAGATGAAAGGAAATTTATGCTTCCATTGAGAGAAACATGCCTTTCCTGTATCAGAACACTTGCCTTCTATTTTGTTCAGAAATAAGAATGGAGATCACATTCTAGTGGGTGGGACAATGGAAGGAGGAAGCAAGGTAAATTTGTAAACATTACTAGAGGTTCATGTGGGCCTACTTGACAATAGCCTTCAAAATATTCATGTTTATACCTCAGGGAACATACAGGACCTCAACTTTAGTTGCCACGATATTCATTGCTATATTATTTATAGTAATAGAAGTTGGCAGTAACCTAATATCAAATAGTAAGAGATTCACTAAATAAGTTAGGGTATATCAATTGTATTATGTATTATGATAAAGGGAAGATATTTAATAACACGGAAAGCTGTGATTAACCAGGAAGGAATGCTGGCCAAGCAAATGGTATAATGCCATTTTTGTACATAGATTACATTGCAAAATGACAGGAAGAATGGGTATTAAAATGATAACATAACTATAGTGCTTCTGGGTGGTGAGAAAATACGCAATTTATACTTTCATCCATTTGTTTGGTTGTATTTCCTAAAATGTGCTTGACAATTATGCATTATTTATGGGCCAATAAATATTTTATACATGTTTGGAAATCAAGGTTAATAGGAATAAAATATGACTTGGCAAAGTTGAATCCATTCAGTTGCATGTGTGCACAATGAGTCAAGACTTGACAAAGAAGAGAGATGAGATGTCATCACTCTCTACCTCTCTTTGCACATCTTGGTTTCCTCCCATTTCCGCTTTTGCCTCACCTCCAGAAGCATGACAGGAAGCAGGCTACCACATCTGTTCTTCGTCCCCCACCCCCATCCTGGCCTGGTCGCCAGCACTGAGATGTCAAACGTTCACCCCACCAGGACAGGAAGAATCCCATGCCCAACTACCACTATGTTGCCCTTGTCCTTCCCTCGCTCTCTGCACACGCTCTGCCTTCAGGTGTGCTTGGGCAAGCCAAAGCAAAGGAGCATTACACACCCCATATTCTTCCCTCTCCCCAAGGATGGCTCAGTTTAGAGACTTCTCAGGAGAGAACTAAAAAGGTAATGTGCACTAGGAAATACCTTCCCTTTTGCAATCTCCCTGTACAAATGTTCAATTTTGACCCCAAGCCAAATAAACAATTTTCACTAATTGCCTTAAATTTGATGCCCAGGTTAGCCAGGTGTCTCAGATGCCTCGCTGTGTATTTTGTAGTACTATTTTCTGAAAATTTCCTTCCAGCCTGATCAGTGGACGACCCCTCAAGAAAAACTAGTTTTGGGACCAGAACAATGATTTCTCTCCACTCAACCCAGATTGCTCTTTTATCTCTTCTGTGTCTGCAATGTGGAAAAAAAAATCACATGCTTCACTTTGGTCCCAGTAATAAAGGGGAAACTGGGCTGGGAAAGGAAGGACTTGAGTATGACATGGAGGAGACCCCAGGGTGAACGTTCTCTTGGGAAGGAAGCTTTGGTAACTAACAGGGCACTTTTTTGTGATGAGGAAGGGATAGGTTTGAATGTGAATTCAGTCCCTCTGTGGAACCCAGAGGACCCAGGATAAAACAGTGTTCTACCTTTTCTTGCCAAGAGGTTAGAGTATTATCGTGCATCCTTCGTTTTGCAAAGAGAAACCATCAGGTTCAAGGATTGGGGAATTAGGAGAGTACACACTTGATTAGGTCTCTTTTTCTTTCCTGGGATATTTTGAGAAAAAACCACTTTTTTTCCTTTACAATTTGAAACTCACCTGGAATCTGGGGTCTCCTTTCAGGAGGAGAGGCCGTGCTTGCCCCACTTCGAGTCCCACTTGAGTGTCCTAAGGAGATAAACGAAAAGATGTCTCAGCCCAAGTTTGGAATGTACCACCAGGAGTTCCAGCCTCCAAGATCTACATCACCAAGAAGCTAGTAGCCACAGACAACTATAAAGTATTGTGCAAGAGATTAGCACCCCTAAAAGTGCAGTGCAATTAAGGCTAAGGCATGGATGTGTTATGTGTATGTGGAAACATGAAAATCTCAGGAGCAGTGGTGTGTGCAGTGCTTAAGACTGGGACTGGCCTTTTGAGCTGGACAGTCATGGATTCAAACCCTACCTCTGTCTCTTGCTAGCAACTTGTGCTAGGTAAGGTTGCCTTTGACAAGTCTGGGTTTTCTGTCTTGTAATATGGAGATTGTAAGATACTCCACTTCATCAACATTTTACAGACGTTTAAAGAAAGAAGCACACAAACACTGTAACAGTTTGTAGTTGCTATTTTCTATGTTTAATGTCGGGCCTTGCTACCCAAAGTATGGCCCTCTAAACCAGTAGCAGAACCATTGCTTGTGGGCTTGCTGGGAATGCAGAATCTCAGGCTTCCCTCCAGACCTACTGAATCAGTATCTTCATCTTTATGAGCTCCCTAGGAGCTTCAGATGTGCCAGAAAACTCAAAGTGAGCCTAAAAATCATATCCACTATCATCACAGAAATTAACATGAACACTGAGAAATACAGGTTTTGGGGCAATGACCTTTTCTGTCAATGAAAAATCACCTTATTAGAGTCCCTGCTAACTTATTAGTGAATGTATGATTTTTGTTAGAAAAATGAACACTTTTCTATTAATAAATCACAAAATAAGGATGTGAACCAAAAAAACCACTGAAGTTGGGCAAAAGCATTGCAAAAGATGTGCTGTACAAGTCAAAACCAAAGGTGACTTATCAAAATGAGGAAGACATCAAGTTTTAAAAGAAATGTCTAAGACATCTTGCTAAGAAGACTTACCTAAAACTGAAGCTTTATGATTTTTTGTTTTGTTTTGTTTTTATATGTTTCATCCTCTAGTTGAGAGTAAATCTTGAAAATGTTGCACTAAAATTAGCTTTTTATCTCATGGGAAATGGGGACCTGCTGTAGAATCCTCAAGGCCACCAATGGGAGAAAAACCTGGGGAAGCTTGTTTGGCTAGTTGGTGAATGAAGATGGTAGGGTTTTCTTAGAAAGCCAAACTTCTGACTATGTAAAGTAGACACTAAAATCTTGATTGCAATCATTATTTCAGGGTAGGAGGGCTCAACAATTTGAAGTTTTTGATGAAACTCAAAATGCAGCAAAACAAATTCTTACAGATGTGTGGCTATTTTAACATAGGTCATCTCATTTTGCCAGTGACCTTTTATTTTACAACCTCAGAGGACTCCAAGGCACTTTCCCTACCTGTTCCCAGTGTGTTTGGCCATTGGAAGGTTTTCACCTGAGATATTGACCATGTAAACTGGAGATCCTTGGCCTTGGAAAACACTTAAAAGGTGCCGTCATCTTTGCTGATCTTTTTTTTTCCTGGCTCATAACAGCCTTTGATATTTGAAAGAGAGTACACTAATAGATCACATCTCTTTGTATTGATTTAAAAATAAAATGCTCCCAGCAAGGAAAGATCTGTATTTATGCACAACAAAATGAAGCCTCTTGTTTGAACAATACACACTTGCATGGGAGCCAAACAAAAGAGACAAGGCCCTGCCCACCTGATTCTCATTTCAAGCAAAAACCAAAGAGCATAGGCAATAGACAGCCAGCCTCTCTTGTACCCTAGAGATCTGCTAATCCAGCCAGGGCAGAACCAACCAGGAGCGCAAGTTCTGCAACACAGGGTACTGGGCACTATAGTTGGAAGATGACACCCAACCTGATAAAGGCAGACAGTGATCATTCAACTGGATTCAGCTATGAGAAAGACAGTGGAAGACAGAGATTTTTAAATTTTATCACACCCACAAACCACCTGGGGGGAGGAACTTGGTTAAAATGCAGATCCTGATTCAGTGTCTCTACACTACACATAGATTCTGCATTTCCAACAAGCTCCTAACTAATGTCTCTGTTGCTGGTTCAAGGACCATACTTAGGGTAGCTGGGGTCTGCTGGCTTTAGAGAACATGGCTTTTAATAGTAATTTCCTCCTGTTTCCCAAATACTTTTTCATTCGTGATACCTTGGGCTCCTCACACACACTCCAGGAAGTAATTGAAGTAGATGATCTGATCTTCATTATTGATAAGGAAACTGAGGCTGGAACATTTGAACATGCCCTATCCAAGGATCCCAGTGAGTCTCAGACTTTTGCCTGTACTCCAGAAACTTTTCTAGTAAACCCTAGATCCCAGGGTAGAAACATAAAGGGTTATTATTGCAGCCATCATGTAAATGTCTTTCTTCGGATTTGCTTTAAACCTGGAGGCAACCCTTGCTCCAACCTGGGCAGGCAGGGAAGAGTGATAACTTATATGGATATAGGTCACCTGGTTTTGTGATGCTTGGGAGACCACAGTTGGTGGGAATAGCAGAACCTCTCAATAGCCCCAGTAGTGAAAGGTCAGAAGTAAACCTTATGTCAGACTTTGCCGCCTGAAGTAACATTTTCAGGGGCTGAGATCTGAGTCAGAGCAAACAGGAATCGATTTAACAATGCATGCCTGGCAGTAGTTAGTAACAGGGGTGCTTTCTCCAGCAGTGGAGCTCTTACGAGAGGCAACAGGAAATCCTGGGACTACACTCGACTCCACCACTCACTAGTATGTCAACTTGGCCAGGTTACTAACCCTGTCTAAGATTTAGTTTCATCTGTGATGTGGGGACAATAAGAGTACTTATGTACATCAGGGGGTCTCTAGGATAATCCAATCCATTATTATCAGGTGAACTCTAAATTTGCTGATATTGATTATTCTTGGGCTACAGAACTATCAGTTTAAGGTGGTCCAACCTAATACAGGTAAAGTGTCTTGGATAATGGTACTTACAGTCACATAGTAAATTCTCAAATGTTAGTTACTATGCTATGTACCAGAGATTATGCTAAGGGCTTTACAATGAATTCTATCATTTAGTCTTTGAAACAATGTCCTCTGACAATTATTATCCCAATCTCGTTAGGAAATTGAATCTCAGCCCCTATAAGCACCTTGCTCCTTTACTATGTAGAGGAACTGAGGATCAAACACAAGCTATTTTTATTTCAAAACCTGTGCTCATAGTCACTCGGGCACAGGGCAGTGTTAAATTGGGCCCTTACTTGGATTCTTCCTGATCCTTTCAAATGAAAGATTTTTCTCCAGAGCAGTAGTCACCAAAGTCCCAGAAGTTATCAGTATTGCCAGGGAGTTTATTAAAAATACAAAAGCTTGGGCTCTTCCCCACACTAACCAATTCAAAAACTTCCCAAGGTGAGGACCAGAAATGTGATTTCATGGTCCTCTCTGTGATTTTAATGCCTGCTAACAGAGTATTAATCTATTCTCTAGAAACGACTCATACTTTGTTAGTAATTATCAAGTTCAATGAGTATAGCAGTAAATGACTAAAGTAATTTCAAACTCACCATCAGATTTCGAATCACTAGTAGTATGGGAGCGTTCGTTGGGGTCTATGAATGTGTCTTGATCTCCTGTAATAGCCAAGGAAGGAAAGTTAGTCCTGGGTCTCTGCTCACACTGCAAGCTGCATTTCCTTATGTTGTATTTTCACAAGTCCATTATGAAGTTTATTCTTTTAAATGTAACCAAGAAATGATGTGAAGAGTCTTGACTGGGTTCATATCATGAATGACCACTCCTTGTTTAGCCCACTGACTTATTTTTCATCAAAATTAAGGAGATGGAGGTAGCCCAGCCATTTAAAACCATACCATAGAAAGTGTAGTAGAAATCTAAGAACTGTGACACAAGACACTCTAACTAAAAGATTATAATGGTTTTCAGATCTGAGGTTGAATCTAAGCAATGTGGATGTTAAATAAGGACTATAAGAATTAGACTGAGGTGTGTGGTCACTGGAAAATTGCAATCTGGCTCAGGGGATGAGATTTTTAAAGAGATTTATCTGAGCCAGGAAATTGTACTGTATTTAAGCAATCCTGGGTTTGAATGATGTAAAGATCCAAAAAGAAAATTCAGCAACATATTTAAAGTAAATGAAAAAAGAGAGGATAAGAGGATAACATGTAGAAAATTTGTTCCTGGGTATTAGAATAAAGTCCAGCTAATATTTTTCAAAAGTTAAGCCATATGTTGGGCATCTGCAATCAATATAATCTCAAATATCAATTACAGGAAGGCTTTAGATAGAGAAAAACTCATGAGTTGCTAAAATCTAACTCCACAATTAAAATCTTAGATTTGACATATGGAAATTCTTCAGCTCCTCCACAAACCCTCAACAATTTTTATTGCCTTTTTTTTTGATATTTGAAACAGGTTCTCACTATGTAGTTGAGACTGTCCTGGAACTCCCTATGTAGCCCAGGCTGGCCTCAAACTCACAGCGATCCTCCTGCCTCAGCCCCCCAAGTGCTAGCATTATATGCGTGTGCCACCACACCCGGCTAACAATTTTTAAAGTATACTAGCATCTTTACACACACACACACACACACACACACACACACACACACAAACACACAGTTCAACAGTTTTACAAATTGCAGGTAGTTACTGACTATGAAGATGCCTATAATGAATACAGAGTAGCCTGATCATTACCATTTCCTTGATTAGGAAAGATGGAGATGGGTCACTTGTAATACTCTCCTGATTATATTTAAAGACATAGATTGTTTTGTTCCTGGGCTGAAGGTTAGAATAACAGAACACAGCACGAACAAGAATGCCATATTGATAGTTGTCCCATGATCAAAATCACCATCACCATCACTAAACCCAGCACCACCACTGCCACCATGATCACAAATGCTTTAGTTCTTAATATTAAGCATAAGTATTGAAAAAAAAGTACAGACAGAACTATACATATATGAGTGTTTTGGAAGAAAATTTAAGAAGAGAAGGAAATGTCTTACTAGTTATTGAATCCATGAAGAACCATGAAAAATCCATCTATATCATGGTTTTTCATATACAAATACAGAAGAAATACCAATTTGGTTGAAATAATTTTATTTACTAATGATTAGGCTATATAAGCCTTCTAGGATGATTAAAATGGCCCTTTTAAATTTTAAATCCATTAGGTTGAACAATAGGCATTGCTTTGCAAAAGAAATGAGACTGAACTCGAAGATTTACTCCTCTAGAAGAAAACTGACAATGGCACTTAGAGTTTTCAATAAGGAAGAGCAGGTTTATGCTACACAAAATACTAAGAGGGTCTTTGTTTTGCCAATATCACTGATGTCAGCAATTTTAAACAATTTTCTTCGAAGCCCTAATGTGGGCAGGCCAAAGGAATGACACTAAGCACATGACATACTGGATTCTCTTGTCCTACCTTAGTTAGAACATTCCAGTTGGTCTCTGTTTTGCATATAGGATCCTCTTATGATACCTTTTTTCTTTTGGGGAAGGGGGATCTCTTCTATAAACACAATATGTGTTAATGATTGAATGGTAAGGAGTACTTGAATAATGGTACTAGAGGAGCGAATCAGTTTTTAGTTTCTTAGCCAATTCCTCTTTCTTCAGTATCAGTTTCTTAATCCAACTGGAGTGGGGCGGGGAGTAGAGAGGACTGCTTATTTGAGCAGTCTTATTCTGGGTCCCTGTCAAACTTCATGGAATATGTCATTTCTTTATTATTACAATAAAATAAGTGGCTCCTATCATTAATATTAGATTTTAAAATGAAGTTTTAAGTGTAACATGACTAGAAGAGATTTAGCCTCCAGCCCATCACCAAAAGTAAAATTGATTAATCCATCACCAAAAATAAAAAATTCAGAACAAAGATTCTTATGTTGAGTGAAACTTTACTAAAGAAGCAGCATTTATTAATCGAAGCCAATGAAATTGCTAACATACAAATTATTTTGATCTATAAGAATATTATCTTCACATGTTTCACCTTGATACGTCACAGGATGAAGAATAAAATAAAGAAAGAAATTCTACCATAACAACTGACTCACAAAAATAAATGGAAAATATATTAACAAATGGAAACATTATTGTACCTTAAGTAAATCCAAATTCCCTGGCATTAGAATTGATGTCAAGTGATGATGTCACAAAGAGGCCTAATCACAGTCTATATAGAAAATAACTCTGTAAGAGGAAAGTATATGTTGTTTCTCTCTCTAGAGAAAGTAGCCCAGATAAAAAACGGCCAAATTACCTGGTAAGGAGTGATCAACATCAGAGTTAGGCTCTCCAAAAACAGTAACTTCAGTTTTTCCAACGGCCCCAGTATTAGCAGGGGTCACTGGGATGAGGGTCCTGTTTTCTTTTGTGTCTGGATAATGAGGGGTATAACCTTCCAGGGAAGTAGTTGAGTCTTCGGAAATAGTTCCACCTCTTCTGCCCCCTCCGGCAGGATGTCTATCTGTGTGGAGGTGGAGTCAGTGATAAACCCACATCTGTAATATCACCACGCACCACGTATCTGTCTTCAGAATATGCAATGGCTGCAGAAGCTTCCTAACATTTATCCAAGATCAAGAGTAAAAGACAGAGAAGTTTGCCACACTATTGAATCCTGCCCTTGTTCAACAGAAGAGATTTTGGTGATCCTAATACCCACAAGAAGCGTTTTTGCAACATTTGCCTGAGCTACCCGGGTAAGGCTTGTGCCATCACAACTGTAACTTTGAAGTCAACTCAGGTACTAGATAACCATGAGCTCTTTCTCAACTGGAGTCACCTTTGATGAAGTGGAAAAAACATACCATTGACTTGAAGGGTAAAATTATGCTATCTGCAATTGGAATGGCAAATGAATGATTTTAAAAACTTGAGGCTGCCAATTTAATTATTCTTTCCTATGCCAGATGGGCAATGCTTCTTAGTCACCAGCACTGTGGAATTATGATCCAGAGGAAAAATGACACATTAATATTAATGGGAGGAATATAAGAGTTATATAATCAGAATTTTAGACCAATTGTATATATCATAGAAGCAATGTATTATTTTAACCAAATCACTAATTATAGCATTAAAGAAATCTGACTTTTAAGGCTAAGAAATATAGTTCATGCTTAATGGTCTCCTAAGAGGTCTATACAGCAGACTTCTAGGAGGTCTACAAAGCAGAAAAATCAGAAACCACCACCAGATGCACCTTTTGGCGAAAAGGAACAGTACTAGTAACAGCCAATGCATGTACCTCCACCAAAGACACCACAAGAGCACCCATGAGACATTGATTTTTTATCAATAGCTGAAGCCAACTGGGTTCTTTAATCCTTACTGCCAGATGTCAGAGTAGAAGTTGTTGGATGGCCTTTATCTTCTTCCATTTCTCCATGCGATGTAGAGAAGCTCTGAGAATCACTCTGCTCTGTTTCAATGAGGGGTGAATCGAGTGTTAATTTGGAACCATGATACAGATCCTCTGTCGTCACTAACAGGGAGGATCTGCCTATACTATTCAAAGGGATAGGTGCATAGTGAGATGGAGATTTGTGCACAATATTGTCCTTTTATTGAAAGAAACATCAGAATTCTGTTTTGACATTCATTGGCCCTTTTAATTCCCAATATAAGAAACAAAGGTAAGGTTGCAAGGTGAAGACTGAGTCCAAAATTTCCCCACCCTGGATCATCCCACATGGTAGCATTGCTCGTGGGCACTAAGAAAAACCAGAAAATGCAGAGGCATGGAAAAGAATGTTTGGGTTTCAGTGCCCCTTATCAAAAATGAGGAACATCTACCAGTCAGAAGTGTGACTGTGCAGAAAACAACACCTACAAAAGAGAAAGAAGCCCATTGGGATAATCTGCTCAAGAAACTCAAATCAAATTTGCACAAGGAAATTCATAACTCCCTTCTAGAGATCATTAAATTAAAGTAACAATTTCACTCTATTACTAGGCTTTTGATCTCATCTGTGCACAAGGATTTTCATTACCACACCAAGGAAATGCTTGCCTGTGCAAACACCAAGGCCTCAATGACTTGTATCCATTTGAAGTTGAACTACTGCCCAGATCTGAAATCTCTTTGATTATTTTGAGTTTATCACCTTTTAATTCTTGTAAGAATGGTGCTGATTGCCAAGTTCCAGGTGCAAGCATTCCATAAAGCACAACTATAAGCCATGTCCACCACCAAATAAATACCATAACCAGGATTCAGATATTCACCAAATCCCAAACCCAATTTCTGAACAAAAGCCAACAGTAATATAAAATGGAAATACAAGTTCTTCATTAGCAAAGGCCATTCATAGGCTATTTTACTGTTCCTTTGATGCTTAACATTGTGCTAATTTACATTGCTGACAATCAACACATGCTTACTGATTTTTTCCTTTGCCTAAAGGGCTAACATAAATGGCTCTGCCCATTCTTTGTATCAAGCAGTGAAATGTGACCCTCTTAATTCTGGATTTCTTTCATATTCTGCCAAGGAATCATGAATGACTTTAGGCTGATCTCTAGATTATCACTGAACATATGGTGGAAATTAAGGCTACTAGAAATTTAACATCCCTTCCTACTAGATATTAGCAAGTATTTCTTTTTTATTCCAAGAAATTTGACAGCTTTGTCAAATTTCAACACTACATTTTGCCCCTCCTTTATGAGCTAATGTGATTTCCCTACTGTATGATTTTCTGGCACCCAAAATACCCTTTCACTATCAGAAAGGCAGTCCTTGTGCCTTGATTGGAGGAAGGATGGGAATAAAAAAGAGATGGTCAGTTAAAACACAAAGGAAACACTGTCTTAGATGTGATCTTTGATGTCACTGACATGACCAATTAGAGAAGGAAAATCAAGGTGAATCGAGTTCTACATCCTTTTTCTTTATTTTTCAACATAAAGTCATTGAATCTGGAGGCACCAAGAATAAAGGTAAAATCAGATATAAAGAACCTCATATGAAATACAGACAAAGAAAAGAGCTTAACACCCTGGGCTGATCTGAGCCACATAGCAAATGCACCATTCCACCACCAACTTGGCCACCATTTTGGCCAAATGAACAAGAGTGGAAGCAGGGGGATAGGTTGACAAGGGACTGAGTGTCATTGTCCTTACGAGTTGTCACTGAAAGAGGTCTTTTCCTGTCCGAGTCTTCCACCAAATCTGTGTTTGGATCTGCAGTAGGCTGAACTGATGTACTATGACTGGTGTCCAAATCTGAAGGAATTAAATTAGTGTTATTGCTTTATTTCCTAAACCACCACCTGATGGCCATTTATGTTCTATAGCCACATTATTTTTAGATTCAAACCTAGTAAGAGGAAAGAAAGTACATACTGATTCATGTCTTTAGAATCAGGATAAAGTATTGTTTCTTCAAAAGAGTGTCACAAGAAGTAGCTGGCTTTTATTTAGGGACTGAATTGTATGAAAGCTATGATTTTGTTTGTTTTTTCTGGGTCTAGTTGTATCACACATGAACATATGATGAGACTCCCAAACCTTGCAGAGACAAAAACCTAACCCATGTGTGACTGTGTCCCATTCCATACACATAGCCTTTCTTAGCAACTCACACATGAGGGAAAAAACAAAGCGCACTGTTCAGGCATTGTTCTGCGACTTCCTGCTTATTGGGCAATATGACTTTTATAATAGCCTTCTACCATCATTTAGTCCTTTTTTCTTCACAAAGTCAGCATTCAGAAAAAGACACAAAATCCTCATGCTGTCTTATCTTGGCAGAGACCACAGGGAGTACACAGGGGAAGAAATAAGCAGTGGATATCACTCAATCATTTTCCCCTAAACACAAATACAGATAATTTTGGAATTTACTGTGCACAAAATGCTAAGAGGAGCTGAAATTTTACCGAGGTATTTATAGATGCTTTTTGCAATGGTCATCACAGATCTATTCTGCTGAAATGACAAGTCCTAAGTGAAATAGACGCCAAACAACCCATAAGCACCATCAACACAACTGCCTCTCCACTCTGATCAGTCCATTAACACTAGTGCCTCTGGGAAGATTTAATCAGTTCCAAATGACTCCAGAGAGAAGCACTGGACTATTGGGTACCCACATCTGCATTGCAGCCTCTCAGTGCTAACAGAAAAGACAATCAAGATCTATGCAGGAAAAAAAATGTGTGGCCAACTCTGCTATCCCAGATATCAAAGTAGAAAGGTTAGTTAATCCAAACCAAAATTTCACATGGATAATCTGCCAAAAAGAAGCCCTGCCTGTTGATGGGCTCCAGCCACTCTGGTTCAGTTTCAGTCTTATGTGTAGAATCTTTCAAGAGACATCATGCTCCTCTAGAGTTAAAGCCATATATTTACCCATGTAGAGGAATCTCCTTCTTTGGTATGGAGATTTAATATTGATTCTGAGGCTCTTTTGTTGGCTTGGGATCCACCATGGATGTCATCAGAGCCTCCAGAATCCATTTGCATAAAAAAATGTGTACTGGGTCTGCATATGGCACTTTAATTTAAAACAGCAGCCCCACTCAGACCTCTCTTCATTTGTGACAAATGGGCCCACTCACTCTGACATAGTCACGCCTTGACTTATTTTCCTTTATGTCCCCCTTTACATGAGTCTTCTTCATAGAAATTCTTCTGCCCACTTTCTTCCTCTGCTTACTCAATTTTTTTTTATTTTTCAAAAATAAGATATAATCCATCTTTCTCTGATGCTAGCTGGCACGTATGGTCTCCTCTGAATTTCTTTAGTGTTTATTATTGGTAACATTCATTTCACAGGTATTATTGTCTCACACTGCTAGATCTGTTTTGCTTCTAATTCTTTTTTCTTTTTTTGCCAGCTAAATTTTAAAGTTCTTTAAAGAAACTTGTTTCCATAATGCTTTGCACATTAGCAGGTATTTAATGCTGATTATAGTTCAAGGGATATCTGGATCACTAATATTTGGGCAAGAAATAGAGTATTCTAAAGAAATAAAACTATAGAAATTCTTAGATTCATTTTAGAGATAACTTTGTGCTTAGTTAATACCAAGAGACATTCTCATTATCCTCTTAGAACTCATTTTAGTAAAGTTTATGCGATACAGATGTTTGGCAATTTATATCCAGATAATATATGTTATTCCACAACTGTAAAATCACACCCTATTTTGGTAATTTTGATTTGTCACTCTTTTGGAATGTTACATTTCTGTGGTCAGGACAGCTTGTCCACAAGAAAAAAAACTTAACTCTATTCAAGGGTATAATAAGAAATATTGATTCCTCTACTTATTTGATACTGATACAGGAGAGGCACCACATATTCTCTGCTAGGTAAGCTGTGATCTGTCATAATCAAAGAAAATTCTTTTTGAATATAAAAACTGGACAAATAAATTCACAATTTTCCATTTTTGCAGAGCTACTACTAGTGTCATCCTTCCCTTTTAGAAATTCTCAGGAAAAAATATAAAAGAATTTAAAAAAAAGAATTTCATCTGTTATAAAAATTATTCACCCACTAAATTCAAAAACATTCATTGAAGGCTAACAGTAAACTACTGGGTACCATGTAATCTTCAAATGTGACAAGAATAAATAATAAAGTTTTCTGAGCTTTCTAGTTACTTGTTTAGAATAACTACTCACCAATTTTTTAACCTCTCAGATTTCTTTGTAAGACAAGTATCTCTGAGTCTATCGTAGAAATAGTCACTGAATCCATCAGTTTGTTTATTTGAAAACCTTGCATGTGGAAGTAGAAATACCCCTCCCTCAGAGGAAATGACTCCTACTCTTAGCAGCCCAGAAATAATTATTTTTTAATCCTGAGGAAATCCTTCACTTTCAGCCTAGGAATTCATATTCAGTTGGATACCAGTCTGTTATGGCTCTAGAGGTCCCCCCAAACCTCATGCACTCATAGGTGGGGCTTTTTGGAGCTGGCTGGTTCTAGGGAGGGCATTTAATACTAGAATTAAGGGTGTGTGGTACTAAATTAGTCCACTGATTTTAATTAGCATAGTTCGGGGTACGGATAATGTGAAGGCCTTCCCTGAGTGTGGGTAGCACTGCCCAGAAACCTTTTAGCCTGGATGAGATAAAAGGTAAAGGGAGGTTTGCTGCCTGCTGCCTTCTGCCCAACATGGCATGGACTGTTTCTCCTCTGCCATGCCATCCTGCTTTGGAGCCAGCTAACTATGGACGGAAATCTCTACAGTCAGCTAAATAAATTTTTCTTCCTTTAACTTGTGGCTGTTGGGTATTTTGTCCAAACAATAAGAAAAGTAACTAAGGCATGAGTCTATGAAAAAAATTAACTTTTGAAGAAAGCCAAATATCTTAAGAAAGTAGATTAGTCTAAAACCAAAAGAATGTTTCTGGGGAAAAAAAGGTGAATGTTAAAAATGTAATACATAAAAAAACTTAGAGGCTATTACCTATCCTTTCTGTCTGAGGATCTCTTCTCATTGGATGTGAGATTGGGTCGAAGAACTCAGTCCAGGAAATGTCCTCTTGACTCTGTGTTGTCATTCTTTGACTGGGATGGCTGTTGTGGGCTGAGACTGTTGTGACCATGCAGTTCAAAGTGTTAATTGACATTAGGCTAGAGATACATTGACATATTTTATTCTCTGGACAAGACAATGAGGCTATCTTCCCGGTACAAAGAGCAAAGAAGTTATATAAATGCAGAATAATTCAGAGGTTTGGTTCATTCATTCTAATTTGTTGGCAATCAGCATGTGAACTGGAGGACATTAAACATTTTCAACTTTTGCATGAACAGAAGATAACTTATAGGCATCAAAGGAAGATGAAGAGGCAGTTCTTGACCCATTGTGCCACAGACCCTAAATGAGGAAGTACAAGAGCCCAGGGCCATGATGTCACCATAAGACAACCAAATCCCAGTAAAATGCACAAGGACCTAGAGAAAGATTTAAGTAGCAGTTTCTCCAGTAATAAACAGGAAAGCAAATGCCATTCATCACAAAAAAATGAATGAAAGCTGTTAGAAGCATTAGCTTCTAATAATGAGATTTATGGTGTAAGTGACAGAGGACAAAGCTCATGACCTTTGCTTCATTCTGTGCCAGTACAGAAGTAGAGATAGAAAAGATAATACTATCACCCAGCAACAACCATACCACATAGCCATTCACTGAATCTATTGCTTCACTAGGAATTTATTGAGAAATGGCCATGCGCTGAAAGATATTATGCACTGTATTCTATGATGCAAATGGAAGCATGGGCTATTTCCCACTCATACTAAGTAAGAACATGAGATTCACATTCTGCACTAGGCAGGACAGATCTCAATGCTTAAGCCACACAGACAAAAGAATCATGCATAGGAGCTTGAAGAGGCAAGTTATTGGAAAGACTTAGAGACGACGACAAGTCTTGAGTCCCACTTCTACGATCCCACAACTCAAGAAAAGAGGTGACTTGTTTGTAAAAAAAATTGCATAATCAAGGAAAAATTACCAAACAGATATGAACTAAAGGCCAAATGGCATCAGATGGGTGTCAATTTTCTCATGTCTGGATCCGCTTCTTCAAACACTAGGGTTCTGACAAAATTCTTTCTCACAAGCCTAGTATTTCTCAGAATCACATTGCAAAGTTGGACGCACATTAGATGGTGGGTTCCCTTACAAAACAGAAGGAAGTATTTTATAAGGTCAGGATCTCTATAGGGGAGGTCCAAAACTAGATTTGGAAGTGACACACTCCAGGGCACAGTTCTTATGTACTTTTATGTTTGTTCCTGTTCAGGTGATTTGTTAGAAGTGTTTTAAGATGTGGCTTTGTGTTCACTACCAGCATGACTTATTAAGAAGCCTAATATCTTATGACAGTTCTTTCAGTGTCCTTTAGTTCAATATCCTCAATGCCCCACATTTAACTCAAAAGGAAGTTTCTGCCCACATTTGCTTATGGAACTATTCATTACCAGTTGTCCCTGCTGTTGAGTCAGAGTCTTCTCTTGGTGTTTGGAGATATTCCCCATGCCATCCTCTGTCAAACCACTGTTCTTTCTGGGTAGCTGTTTCTCCTGTTGTGCTACTAGGAGCTGCCCAGGCTGTGAGAAGAATGTCAATCATGAGCCACAATTACCCAATTTTCTCCACCAACAGCTCTTACCTTCTACGTTAAGGGCACAGACGTGGGGACAGAAGGTAGAAAAGGAAGCCAGCTCAGACAGAGGTTACTGATATTCTTTCAGAATATTTAGAAATTAAATGGTCCAGTCTATTATATTTTTTTTAGATGGGAAAACTAGAGCCCAAAGAAAGTTTGATTTGCTCATAATCAAGTAGACAGATTGGACACAGAGTTAGGAAGAGACCATAACCCATGCATTCCCAGTACTATTCTCATTTTACTCTAGTCTAGGACCTCACATATCCTTTCACAGAGAACTGTTCAAAGAGTAATCTCTTAATATATTTTAAAACAACTTATGACGATGTCATGGCATAGTAGAACTTCTCCAATGTGTCACATACTATATAAACACAAACATTTGAAGTGAACCAGTGACTTATTTGCCCAGTATGAAAATCTTTGGGGTGTCTGAGATGGTACTACACCGATTCATTACATGGCTACATCTACATGACATCTGAAACTGCTTCTTAACACGACTAATCCAGTGCCTATTCTGGTCAGTTTGGGAAAATTTATACAAAAAAGTAATGTGAAACAGGCTTAAAGCTTCATCCACCTTCTTTAAAAGAAACAAAATAAATGGAATAAAATTCCAACAGGGTGCTCTCAGGAAAACTCACAAAGCCTCTCTGACATACTCATCTACAGAAACTAATAGCGAGTTTCTAGTTCACCCAGGAAATGAGTGCTTATAAGCTTGCAAAATGAAATTATTTTATGTGGCTTGTAAAATTGATTGTATCCCATTATCTTAGGAAATTATACATGTGATTTGATAACAACAAATGTATTAAAAAAAAACTTATTTCCTCATTTTGCCTTTCCATTGGCCAAACTATCCCTGGGGTTAACTGGTTATCCAAAAGGAGAAAAAAGTCAGAATTTTAAATTTAATCTCCCACTGACTAAATCAATTTCTCAAATAATGATGTTAGAAAAACCCTGAATATAATTATAGAAAAGGAAAAATGGATTCAAGCATAGACTGCCATAGTAATCAAAGCTTAAAGGAAAAAAGCAAGTATATGTGTGCATTTGCAAACACACACACACACACACACACACACACACACACACACATAATTCTATACTCCTTTCATTACTGCTTTTATAAACACAATGATCCTTTCAGTGCCCAATAAGTCTGCTTTCAGTGCAAGTAGGAATGGGTTAGCAGAATATAAGATTTGCATCACAGAATATGAAAACCGACTTTCTCTTAGAAGTTGTCATGTCTACTTGGTAAAGCCCAGAAGTCACCCATCAGATTCCCTTTAAATTTTTGCAAGCATTATTACTGCCTTCCCTTTGTCAAATTTTGCCATATTTGGCTTTCTCAATTATCCTCTATGAGTGATGCCCCCACACCACCTCCTTTTGACAGTAGGTTCATTAATCTCAAGCCTTTCTGCTTAGGCACAAGCTTTTGAGAATAATTTCTGAGAGACACAGGTAGAACCCAAAGATGACTGGAACTGAATCTTGTTGCATATATGTTTCTGCTTCCTCTCTATTCCTTTTCTGTTAACTCAGCCTAGAATCCTTATGCATGGATCAAATCTACTAAGGCAGTAGTGGGATGTAAGGTCTGTTGGACATGGCCAGTACAGTGTGTGGGACTTAGTAACCTATGCCTTAAACTTTTCTTCAGTTGTCTGAAGCCATGTCTCAGAAGTGCAAATCCAAAAAAAGAATATAGACTTTTTACTTTTTCTTGGTTTTGCTTTTTGGTCAAATTCCTCACCACTCAAGTCCAATGGCAAGACGAGATTGTTTTACAAAATGAGATGTTTGTGCCTAAGTAGAAATAACAGCAAGAATACCAAAGTTTTCCTCAAGCTATTCTGGGTTTGAAAACAGGAAAAAAAAAATCAGCTGTAAAATTCAAATATAGACCACTTCAAGTTACTGACTCTGCTCCAAGAGTACAATGGATGAAATTCTACAACACCATGAGGAACCAAAGGTGAAAAAGAAATTAGATTTATCACAGATCTTGATAAAAGCTAAGGATTCCAAAGATCCTTCTACGTAACAACGTTTCCTTCCAGATCCCACTAGCAAGCACCTAATGGGTGTGCTTTCACCGGTACATTTCCATAAGCACATAAAAATCTCCCCAAAGAACCTCTGTACATCTGGAACCCAAACCATAACTCAGATCTCCTTTTTCAACATGCTGGCTTTTGAGCAACCTGGTAAGTTAGCACTTTTCTTCCAATTTCTAAAAAATTGTGTGTTGATTTTGCTTCTTGAGCTCTACAGATCAAAGAAATTACTGTGGGGAGATAGAAGATGTGTCCAATGTCTAAACAATGTCTTCCCTAGCCCCTGGAATTCCTTTACTAACACATGTAAACAGTGACTGCTGACTGCCATCCTTCTTACTTGTGCTTGTAGAATGTGGGGTCTCCTCTTCATCCTGATGCTCATGGTGAATGAGAGGAGGCTGTGCATCCTGGGTCCAGTTTTCTCCAGAAATGGTGTCATTTCTGTCTATATCTGTTGTGATGATGGTTAAATACACTGTGACTTTTATCAAGCAACTTGTAATGATTTCTTTCTTCCATGAAACTATATATACTATGCTTAAACACTATCTCTGAGCATCTACTATAAACAAATGAGTGATTTTACTAGAATGTCCCAAAAGAGAATGAACAGGCATGGCATTTCTCCATGTTTACTTATTATTCCATCATAGACACTCTGTCAGAGACAGCATCATAAACCTTTCTGATGCATTCATTTTTAGAGCAAAGCAGCATAGAATAGCTTGTACCCAGGTGGCATGATTGATAAATGATTCCTAGGTGAGACTAAATGTCTTCATGAAGAGTTCACTAAGAATCTGTGATGAGATATTAAATAAATTTCCCACTGTGTCTTCATGATTGGCCATTGTAGCACTGTGGGCTTTGAAGGAAAAAATATTCTTTAATTAAATGTGCATAAGCCATTACCAGTCATCCTTGTGGTTGTCTGAAGTAGTGCTTCGGTGCTTGAATGGCTTGGCTTCCACTGGATCCAATCCTGGAACTGTTTTGTGTGGTCAGAAACTCGTGGAGCTGTTGAAACTGTGATAATGACGATTGAGGCAATTAGGGAAATGTTATTTCTTGAGCCTTCTCCACTTGTTTTGCACATTTCTCCTTCTGTAGTCTATATGACTCATCTATACGAGGGTGTATAGATGGCTGTGTAGAAATGGAGGAAAAGCAGAGAGCACCTTCAGCTTGGCTCAGCCACGTGGTTAAGCATCTCAGTGTCCTTCACATTCTGTCACAGAACACCTTGGGGTTCAGAACATGAGATCTTCTGGGAAAAGCAATCGAAGAAGCTGGGGTGGCAGGAATAACAGCATTGAAAATACCAACCCTCCACCAAGGACAATGAAAGACGCCAGAGTTTTGTCCATCCATGCAAACTACAGTGGTCCTCAGCAAGTGAAAGCTCAAGAAATTTAGACGACTAGCCAGAGTGCTGCCTGTAGATCCTTAGCCCAAAGAGGTTAATAATGGAAAGCTATACCACAACAATCACTATTTGTTAGTAATTTTGCTAGAGATGATAGAAATACCCTGAGCACCCAGAGCTTTCTTCTAGATGGGTCTGAGAAAAATGTCTTCCTAGAATTGAGATATGGCTTGAGATATATTTCTGAATATTTATCAAACACCTATGGTACTCTCATCAAATACAAAATATATCAACAGCAAGCCATTCACAACCAATGAAAGAAAAACAAGATGCATCATTCAATAGAAAAAGGCCAGAGGTACCAACCACCATCAGTATGGAATGCCGAAAACAAAGGAAGTATACATCCACCAATACCCCGATATTGTCACCCAAAGTATTAGGTCTAGAATAGGAGATACAACTAACAGAAGGATCATGACAAATCAATCTTCTTTCAAACTTTGATTTTATACCCAGATAATGCAAAACTATTTCACAAGTTAAGAAAATCAAAATTGGGATCATTAACCACATTCTCTCCCCCCACCCCCCTCTCTTTTTTGATACCAGGGCTCAAACTCAGAACCTTGTGCTTGCAAGGCAGGCGTGACACCACTGAGCTAAATCCCTGGCCCCAACCACATTCTCAATAAGCATGAAAAAGTGGAAAATATACCCTAGAGACAAAAAAAATAATGTGAGGAATTTTTCCCTGGAGCCTGGCCATGTGGCTTATTTCCAGGTTGATCTTTTGGGGTTGCCACCCAAGGGAGTTTAGTTTCTCAAGGACTTGTCTTCACTAATGGGCCCTCCTGCAAGGGTGGGCCACATCCTGAACTCAGGAGGCAGCATAGTCCAGCACCAGTGATTAAACACAATATAGACTGAGCTCCACAGAGGTGTTCAGCCTAAGGAATACATCACTTACAAGTTTTCATATACAAAGTTAAGTTCATCTTGAGTATAGTCAAACCATATACTCAGATGTCTTTAAGGACTAAATTAAATTTTTTGATTTCTTCTATCCTGGCTGATATTCATTTGGGGATTAAATTCTAAGTTTTCAATGAGACAGATTCAGCTTATCTCACCCAAGACAGAGCTCACATAGCTCCCTGAGTCTTTTCTCTAAGGAAAAGAAGAGCTGTGATAGAGTCAGTTTCAGAGTTCTCATCTTTGTCTAGCAAAATCTGAGATTATAAGTACGTATAGGAAGAACAATCATTTATTAAAGTATTAGACTAACTCTTATGTTTTTCAAATTTTTCAAAGAATATTTTCAGTTCAAATTCCAGCTTTCTGTTATTCCAGGTTTGTATGATATCATGTAGTGTTTTCACTATTTGCTTTCCACAATCAGCACTGTCTTGTTAACTCTGGATTGACATTCGCCATTTCTTTCCACCTTTTTCTGCTCTATGGGTACCCAGAATGTTTGATAAAACCCTGGGTTTGTCCCTTTTACTTTAATTAGGCTTTAACTAACTAAGACAATTCTTGAAGTCAACCTCACATCTTCTGAGATTTTCAAGAACTTTCTTAGCCCTAGAAATTTAGGATCATCTACAACTTTTAATTAATGTCTTCCTAGTCGTATTCTCCAAGTTTACCGCTCTAATAGATCTTATGCTCTTTTCCCTTAAGGCAAAAGCTCTGGCTTTTTTAATCTTTGTGTACTGAGTACCTAGCATAGCAGGTACATAATGAATATCTGTTATACTGTTTTAATATACCATCCTCTGGAAAGCTTGGCAATTTAAAGAGGACCTACAGTAGCAGACTTCATTGACAAACAAAACAGAGATACCACAAAGCATTCAAAATTCTGTGAGATATTTTCCCCACTTCTCCTCCAGATATGGTTTGGCTTTAGTTGCAAACAATTTATTTCTTCCTCCACAATCTCAGCAAGACATAACTGAGGTGTAATTGTAGGTCCACTCATTTTTCACATTAAGAAAGTATTAGGCACCATTGAGATTAATAAGTAAGCCCTGCACACAAGGTTCGACTGTAATTGATTATTCTTACTGGTACTGGAGATAAAATCTTCATCATCATCAATGCCTGATCCAGAAAAACTGAGATGTTTGTCTATGTCCTCTTCATTTTCTTCACTGGGCGCCCAGCCTGTTGACATGGTATTTGAATCCGTACCTGTTATAGTGACTTGCATTAGTAGCTGAGCTGGATGCCAAGCAACCCATTTGTCAAAGGAAGATAGGTAGAGAAAGTATAACAGCTCCCAAGATTTTAAGAAGAAAGTGAAAAACTTGACTTGTCTACTCCAATTCCTTTTGTCCTTGTCCCTGAAGCTAATACACAGACCTCAGAACATTGGCTGTGTTCTTTATGATCGAACATTCTCTTTAAGGAGGCTAAAAGAATAAATAATGAACATAGCCCTGCCATACAAACAAAACAAAGGCAATGGAAATTCCCTTTTGCTTTCAGACGCGTTTCTTATTAACTCATTAAATATATTCTGTGAAAGCTGTCAAGAATAGAATAGAAAAGTTTCACGTGTGCCTATTTGCTTAGTCAAGACACTTTCAGAAAAATCTCAAAGTGTAACCCTATGTCAGCTACTCTTGAAATCCTGCAGTTCCATTCACAATTTGTTAATTCATTGTTGAAACCTTGCATCAGATCACTGCAGCTGCAAATCCAAAGGAAGCGACACTGCAATTCCCCACAATACTTTCATATAGAGAAAGCAAAACCAAAAGCTATTCAATTAGATAAATTATTCCTGGCATTTATTAGTCAACCAAAAGGGTTAATGGAAGTGGACTACAGTTCATATCATAACAACTTCTCATTCTTTTGGATGCATAGAAAATACCTCTTCTCAATGGTCATTGAAGAAAATACCTCTTTACCAAAAAGGAATTTTCTACCTTTTGATTGAGATTCATACTGTCTCACAGGATGACCCTTTGTCTTTCATACTATTCGTGTCCAAGAATAATTCAACTGATGGAGGTTTTCTGTATTTCATTAACTCTAGCTATACTATTTTATTTTCTCATCAGAAAGTTAGAAGCTTTTACAATTTTGGTAATTTTGGAATATGCATAAGCATTCTTTCAGCCTTGAAGTTTTGTTTCATTATCAAGGAAAACCTACTCCTTTTTCAGTTACTGTAGTAGCCTCCTCCTGAGCTAACTTCGTGCCATGGAGTAGCAAGATGAAAACTGCATATTAGTACTAAAATATTAAATATATAGTTCTGAGAGCCCATAGTCCTACTTAAATCATCACAAACATTTGTGAAATTGAGATGGACTTTAGACTCTAACAGCATTCCTTAGGTTAATAAGAATTATTAAAGACTATTAAAAAACATGTAAGACATCCATAACTCATTACCAGCCATTTTTGTTGTTGTGGGAAGATGACTCTCGGACTTTGATGGTTGAAACAACCATGAAAACCAGTCCCGGGTTTCTTGCCTCTTGGTTGCTGTTTCCAGAGTTGCACCACTAGTGCTCATCAAAGCTGTTGTAACCATGATTGAATCGATTGTTGAAAGGTTAATTAACAGTTCCTAAGAAACAGCATTGCATATGCTTTCACTTTATTCCCTCTTAAGAGAATCATCTATATTCAACATAGATGGTGGAAAGAAAGAGAAAAGGCAAAGAAGTTCCATTTATTTTAGAGGCCCAAACTTGAGTTCATAAAAATATCAGCGATGGAAGGACCAACAACATCATGCGGATCATGCTCCTCATTTTAAAAGCTGAGAAAAATTGTGCTGAACAGAGCTTCTAATTTGTCCAAAATTGGAAAGCTAATCGGTGACAGAGAGATCTGAAGGACAGTGTGAAGTGCCTTTAAAATTTGTAAGTCTATAATGTAAAAAAGGAATGAATTTTTTTCTCATCTCCCAGAGGCCAAATAAAGAGCCATTATGAATATTTTCAGGTAGATGGGTGCTCTTTCAAATATTAGATTTTAAAACGCAGGAATCTGAACTGCACAATGATGAACTTCTTTATGAAGTATTATGTTTCCCAGCATCAATGAGATTATTTGGCAGGAAAGTTGTGTAAGAGATTACCTTATTCGAAGTGTTGATTGAACTAGACCACTTAAGATCCACTCCATAACTGAGCATTTATGATTCTTAAATCCAGCTATTTAGAATCCTAGCCCCTTGATCTTCTATACAGTTTATCTTGGCCAACCAATATCATTCTCCAAGAATTCAGCGTATGATATTTTTGCCAGCAATCACAGACATATGACCCCAGAAATCCCAAACACAGGATGGAATGACGCACAAAGTCTGTTGAAGATGCCTTTCCACTTTTCCCCATAAAGACTCCCAATCCTGCAAGCAAACTTGCCCGAAAAACCCAGACAGATAGGCAGAGGTGAAGTGACAGGATGATCCCACTGATAAGACCAGAGGTGAGAGTCTTGACTTCAAAAGACTGCCATTTTTTTTTTTTTTTGCCACCACAGTATGCACTAGAAGAATATTAGGTAATATTAGATTTTTTTAAAAACTGAGAACAAGTTCAGACAGAGAGGCTGAAGCCATCAACCATCATTAAATCCCCACATACAAAAGTAAGGTGAAGTTTCTTTTTTTTTCTTCTTATAGTTATCAAGAAAGGCAAAAAGAAAGGCAAGAAGAAACATGACCAGTAAGATCTTTTCTCTCACATTATTTGTTCTATGAAGATAAGCATTGTAAATACTTAAAAAAATAGCATTTCCTTTATTGTAAAAATCTCCCCTCTCTCTCACCTATCATGATCTTAATCACTATGATATGGCAACATTATAACATCTTTCTTCACCTGATATTTGCAGAAATGAAGGATATTTCATGTCTTACAAGACCGACAAATTAAAAGACCATTTTCCATATTTATTAATGCCCCTCTGCAGGAAGACTGAGGAGTCATTTTGAAATATGGCCATATTCTCCGCCAAAAGTTAATAAATGAAGATATACTTGGAATCTTTTAATGTTATACATTGACTCATCCTCCTCCCACTTTCCAAGCTCCCAGATCAAAGTACTTTGCAGAAATTTAGAGACAACAGTCAAACACCCGGGAGCTTGTCACTGAGCTAGATGCTGATGTACAGAAATAGGCCATCCTTTTATAGCCTCTTATGGCTTTAAGTGTCCAAACAACTCCAGGGTCTAAGCCTTCCATCTGTAAATTAGCATTTCCCCCTTTTGTTACTGAGCATATAATTAAGTTAGCAGAAAACAGGTGCATGTGTGTCTGCTAATAGGCTTCTGTTAACAGGCTAGAAATAGAGGACATTTTGTGAATTAATCTTCTGGTCAAAGCGTGGCTCTGAAGGAAAATAATACTAATTCTATGCAACTATTGATGAAAAAAGAAAAGTAATGGGGTCAATTAGGAGCATCCAGTCATATTCTCAGATCCATAGGCATCTGTGATAAAATGGCACTAACCCATGCTTTTATTAGTTGCTCAAAGGGCATCACTGGGAACTTTTGGTGTGATAAAGGGTATCCTTTTAACACTAAAAGACTTGGCATTCAGGACACCTGATAAGCAAAGACATAACAGTTTACCTGTCGTCGCTGTTGTCGTGAGAGCCTGAGTCTGAGGCTGTGAATTACCAAACCAGGACCATATCCAATTACTTTGCTGCTGAGCTGCTGCATGGCTGTTTGAGGTAACTGGATCAATTATGAAAATAGCATTTAGTGAGGTTTCCTCTTAACATTTACTTTCTTTCCAGTCTATGTATAACATCTGCATGTATAATAAAGATTGGAAAAGAGAAATCAAGGTCTGGTTTTATCTTTCCAGCCTCCTAATATCTCCAGGTATCTTAGGACAACAACACCCATGCAGATTTGTGTGGGTATCAATCCAATGCTTCTCAGTCTTCAAGTTGAACCCCCAGAAAACCTGATCAGAGCAAAATCAAGCAGCAACTTAATATTGTGGTAGAAAGAGATTTGCTGTTTTCTTGATTGGGTGACTCAGCCAGGAACTGAAGGTCTTTGGTGCGGTATAACATAACATTGTTCTCATTCATTTATCTTTGGAGTGCCCTTGGGAAGGGCTGCCTGCATTTTTTGGGTCTCTCTAGCATTATGCCCAGGTAGTTTGTAGTAACAACTGGTATTTTAAAGTTCCACCCATTCCCATCAAACTCAACTCATCTTTCTACTTGAGCAAGAACTTGGCAAAGGGTGTGTGTTCAAAATGTTAAAATTTTAAAAAGCTTCCTCAGTATCCAACTATCATTTTGTCACCTTTCATTCAAATTCAGTATGTACTTCCAGAAATGAAACAAAACTGCCAAAGTTAAAGAAATGTTGAACTCTAGTCAAATTAGAGAAAGATTGGGACTGGGGATTTAGCTCAGTAGTGGCCACGCCTGCCTCACAAGGGAGTTTGGATCCCTAGTACCAGGAAAAAAAAATTAGAGAAAGGTCAATGGTAACATTTTGTAATTTAAAAATCTCTCCGATTCTCATGTTGGAGTTAAGGCCAGAATGCTTCCCTACAGAAGCAAACTGGCAAAATATCATCAGGATAAATATTTGACCCAGGTGGAAAGTTAAAAAAAATTAAAATTGCACCCCTTTTTGAAAAATCTGATGTATGTTGGCCTTTCTTCTTAAAGAAAGGACCCTACAGATGAACACTCTCAAAATCTTGCACATTATTTCAGGTGATTCTTGACTACCTAATAGAATCTCCTGAAAATCCATGAAGCCAAGTTAAAAATTATACATAACAAGTGTCAACAACAAGCACTAAGTGGTTCTAAAAGAATGCATTAGTTCAGAAAGAGAGTTCAGAAGGAGATAGAAGCCAGTTTCCCTCATGATGCCCTCAGTAAGCCTGAGCACCCCCTGGACTGTCCACAGACACCACATTCTCATTTCGGAAACTGTTAAAGATGCAGAGTTTCCAACACACTCACTGTAGGGTACACCAGGGGGAAAAGTACAACAAGACATAAGCATTTTGGAGCAAGATAGAAATAGGCATCATCTCTGTCCTCCTGCATGAGAGGGGAGGATGAAAAAACAGTTGTGGCTTAGCCATCAGTTTCCAATTTGTTCCACCCAACTAGTTCATGCCAGATCCCCCCCAAAAATTATTAGTTTGACACCCAGAAGACAAGGAAATAGAGCTTTCCAAGGCAAGAGTCTGCTTCCTGAATTAGTTTAGATTTTTTTTTTTCCCAGAGAGTTTGAGAAATAGGAAAAGCCTGATGACATGCCTCCAGGAAAGCTCTTCCAAAAATAATATTTACAATCAACAGCCTGCAGGATGTCCAAACCTAAGCAGAGAGTTGCTCTTACCAGATTTCCCTATGGCCACCCACTAAGGACACTTTCAGAAGGAGTGATTCAGTCAAGCGAAAAACCAGCTTCTTCTCTGTGCTCAGCCAGCCCTCCTCTTGACCTCTACACCCCTGAATGCATTAGGGAGGATTTGTAACCATTCCCGCTCATTACGTCCCAGTTCTCAGTCCAACAAAGATAAGGCTTTGGGAATCTCCTTATGATTCTATGCTACTTTTTTTCTAGTTTGTGTTATGCTACGTTCAAGTTTCCACCTCAATTTTGTTTCATTTTTTGTTTTGTTTTGATACTCATTTTTTGCATGAATTAATCCTCTTGAAGCTGCCATTGGCCTTACTCAATCCTAAAGCACTTCAGGTACTCTTGAAGTAACCATGACTCACCCTGGACAAATGAAGTCTATTTCTTCATTAACTATAACCGTTAAAAGGGACTCAGGCAAGTGTTTTCTGTAGGAGGAAAGTAAAACGCTTTTCTCAACTTAAATCCTAAGCTATATTATAGTCCAGTCTCACACACTCCTTTTCTTTGTTTTCTGAACTAGGATGTCTTTATCTGTGAAGCCATGCCCATCCCTCTGAGCCTTGGTAACTACTAGAGCAATGTTTGAAACAGGAAGACTATAAATATTGGCTAAATGAATAAAAACCCCTCACTCAAATGGCTTCTCTTCAAAATTTCTTTCTTTGTCTTTTTGAGACACTCACTGCTTTCATACAGGCTATCTGCAGCATGAATGATAACTTCATCTAATTCCTACATTAAGACATATTTTGGTAGGATTTTCTTCTTTGTGGGAAATGGGAACAGGTTATACCTGTTCTGCGTCCTACACAGATCATTAATTACTGTGTTTTCCAACATCTGACAAAACTGTGTACCATAATGACAAGCATCTTCAATATGGTTAGGTTAAAAAGGCAGGCAAACCAGGTATGGTGGCTGACACCTGTGATCACAGCACTCAAGAGAGGCTGAGGCAGGAGGATTGTGAGTTTGAGCCCAGCCTGGGCAACTTAGTGACTTAATGTGACCTTATTTCAAAATTTAAAAAAAAAGGGGGGGCTGGGAATTAAGCTCAGTACAAGTTTAATTGGATACTGGGTCCAGTATCCAGTACTGAAACAACCCACAAAGCAGGGAACAGCCAGCAGCACTGCCTGCCTGGCTGGCAGAAGCCCCTTCTGAGCTGTTGCCATCTCCAGAGAGCCACAGCCCGGAACACATGTGCATTTGAAGCAGATCTGCTTTTTGAAGTGCTTCAGGAAATTTTCTGGAATGACCAGAACCTCAAGCCTACTCAAGTTAATCCCCTTGAAAGCTGCTAACAAATTTAAAACACTATTAGGCAAGTCACCTAAGATTCAGTCAGAGACCTAAGGAGGTTTCCCTGGCTTCTGGGTGACAAGGAAGAGAAGGGGCCCCACCTCAAGTATTCACAAACCAGTCAATTTGTGCCTCACTGTCTGGAGGCCAGAGTTGCACCCCTTAGGAGCCAAAGCCAGGAAAAGAGAAAATCCACACCATGCTAAGCAATCCACTCAAGATAGAGATGCCATATTTGGGTTTGAATAATCCTCCACAGAAAGCACAGCCCATCCAGAAACCTGTTTTAAAATAAACCATAGGAAACGCAGAGAGGTAAGTGAAGGAGATGAGAGAGAGATGTAAGCACTTTCCATTTTGGATGGAACTGTAGCCCGGATGCATGAACCCAAAGCCACCTAGTGCAGCATTCACATGGCTCCATTCGTGCAGTTCCCACACACCAGCAGACTGGAGCAGAGAACTCGGAAGCTAATAGATCTGGTCAGAAAACTCCTCCAATACATTTCGCTTGGACCCAAAGCAAAGGAATTGTTTAGTGAATTATCATTAATGAATATGACTAAGTTATATGCAATCAATAACTTGAGTGTAAACCATATTAAAGCATAAAAATACAAAGTTAAGTATAAAAAGGAGCCTATAGGAAGGTATTTGTACCCTATGATCCTAACTTTTTGAAAACAGTATTACCCATGGTGGAAGAAAGACATAAATAAAAGTAAAATTGTTCCCATATCAAGTTTGGGGTGTTACCTTATCCCCAGGGACAAGAAAATAAAGGGAGATGGGTTCTTTAAAAAACAAATAGAAAACAAAATAAAGACCTTCCAATATGGCATATCTTACCCCAGTGTGAGAAAACAGAGTTGTAGATGGAGACAAAGATTGTAGGTCATACCAGTCAATATACACAAAGCACTGAAAAGCATAATAACCGGCCTCCCCAAAAGAGGTCACTTATGTCTAGATGTCTAGAGAGAAGAGAAAATCAATTCTTGAGTGCTTATGATGCAGGAGAATCACAGATTTTTGCCACAGAATTGCTATCAGAAAGTACACTGATTCAGACTCCTTACTGGTACTCCCGTAGGTTCCAGTGTTCGGCAGATCAGAGGTCGGGTGTGCGGTTGGAAGGTGGGTGTGGAAGATGGTGTAACCTCCCAAAGTGCTCCTTTCACTGGAGGACCCACTGCTCACATCCTCGTCCAAAGGGTTGATGGGGTTGATGTCTTCTGGGTTTGTTCTGTATTCTCCTGTCTTGCTGTAGCGGGTGCCATCACGGTTGACAATACCTTGGGGGAAAGAAAAGACATCTTCAGAACTTCCCAGCTGATAGTTTTTGAGTATAGGGAAGTCTGTGGGTTGGCATACAAAATAGTGACATTGAAGCTATATTCTTTTTACTAAGAAGAATACCTACTTATCTAGTGGTGAGATATAGTGGCTGATTTAAGAAGAAAGAGGACCTTCCTCTACTCATGTTATGGCTTGTATCTAGATATCCCTCCAAGCCATCTGTGCATATAGGAAGGGCTTTCTGGAGGTGGCTGGATCTAGGATCTGAATGTGAATTAAGGATGTCACACTGGGGTTATGGGTGTGTGATACTGGATTAGTCCACTAATTGGTTTATCATATTTCTGTGTGTGGGTAAGAGGAAGACCCATCTTGGTAATAGAGTGGCACCACCCAAAAGGCTCATACCTTGGATGGGATACAGAAGAAAAGGGGACTTTGCTATTTCTGCTTGTTGCCTCCTGCTACACCATGAACTGTTTCACCTCTGCTATGACCCCTGCTGTGGAGCAAGCCAACTAAAGACTGAAACCTCTACACACTGTGAACTGAGATAAATTTTTCCTCCATTAACTTGTGGGTGTTGGGTTTTATGTTTCAGCAATGAGAAAGTAGCTTAAGATACCCTGCAAATCCTAGAAAAGATAAGTCAAAAGAGGAGGTATTGGGGAACCCCCACATTTGAATACCAGTTCCATGTAGCTCTAGTCCAGGTAACCGAGTGAGCTTCAGTTGCTCATTTATAAAGCAAGGATAATATTACTTTCTGGATGAAGTTGTTATGGGCCTTATGTGATGTATGGTAAGTAAAGTATTCAGCACTGTATTCAAAATAAATAGATGCTCAATAAATAATAACTGTCCCATCTGGTTCCTGACTCTACTTTCTGAAATATATGTAAAATTTGTTGTTATTAATTCTATCTGTTTCTTTAAAGGGTATCAAATAGCAGACTAATAGGCTCCATAAAGAAAATATATCTCCAAATCTGTGAAGAAACAGATTTTCTTTCTAAGGAACAAATTTTGGCTAAGCAAACCCCTACAGGCTGGGAAATCAGAGCCTAAGTATGCCAGCGCCTTAAAATTAGCAAACATAGATATGTATAACCATCAAAATCTTTGGCTTAAACAGACAAATGACTAGTATGGACCAGAAGAGAAAAAGTATAAATGAATGTATTCATTGTTCTTCTCTGAAAGTGTTTGCTGCCTTCAAATTGGGGTCATTCACTACACATGTGCATACAGGTGAAATGCTTTCTGCTGAATTGCATTGGCAAAACTAGAGATTCTTTTTGTCTATCTACCAAGTTTGCTCAAGTGGAACTATTAGTATAGCACAAATAAAAAAATCCAAGGTAGCAACACCTTGACAATCTCTGCAGATGGAGATCTACAGCAGAAACATTATACTCTGGCTTCTCTTCAGATTGTATAAATCTTTTGTCTTTTAAAACAGAAACATTACTGACTATCTTAATCCATTTCCTGTTGCTGTAACAAAATACCCGAGACCAGGTAATCTATGAAGAATAGAAGCTTACTTGGCTCACAGCTCTGGGAGCTGGGCTAGAAAGTCTAAGTGCAGAGTTCTGGCACCTGGGAGGATCTTCTTGCTATATCATAATAAGAGAGAGCACATGATGTGTTAAGTCACATGTGTGCTAGCTCATGTCTCTCTCTTCTAATAAAGCTACTAATGCATCATGGAGGCTCTACCCTCTTGACCCCATCTAATCTTAATTACTGCCCCAAAGCCCCCATTCAAATACATGAACATATGACATACAGGTTTTTAGGTGACATATTCAAATCACAGCATTGACCATACTTAAATCTGACTTTTCAAAGAGATCTACAGGAACCAAGGAAACTTGGCACGAACGGAACTTCTACTATGGACCAGGCAGGTGTTAGACATACTGTTTCTTAAGTTTCAGAACAACCCTTATACGCTGTGCCATTTTTCATACGCAAAAACTGAAGCTCAGAAAAAGTGTCAGGCCTCTAAAAGTAAGTCAGTGTGATCATGACTCATAATCACACAAGTGGTGAGGAAATAAGATTTCAAAACAATCCCAACTGGTATATCACATTTCACATGGTAGCCAAGAGAAAGGGAAGCTTCCTGTTTCTACTGCAACACACAGAGCAAGGACGATTCCTTCTGTAACAGTGGGAGGTTGGATTCATGTGGTCTGGAAAGATTCTGTCCTTACTGCTGCTACCTCCACACCCATCCACTTTGCTGGGGTATGGTTTTGGGGGTGGAAACATCAGACTATGCAGAAATCAATACTATGCTACTGCCCAACAAAATGATGATTAGAGGCAAACATGGTCAGGATTAATAGACTGACTGAGTTGACATTTTCTGTTTTCTAAACTACCATCTCATACTTCTGCAGATAACCAAGATGACTTGAGGGAGGTGTGGTAAAATGATGTTGAATTCCACATCAGATAGTTTATACTCTTCATGAATATCTTTCAATGTTCAGTGATAGCAAACAGAAAAATTTCCATTTGGAGCCAGAATACCCCTGCCCCTGGCCCTTACATTTAAATTGGTTTTAAGGTGAACTTCTAGCTAGGAAAAGTAATGCTGGTTTCCTGTTTGCAGTTTCTTTTTCAAAATAAATGCATTTTAAGTAGAAGAGAATAGATCAGTTAAGAGAAAATATAGCAAGTAAGTTATAGTGCTAGGTAGTACACAGCTAGGCCCAAAATATGGTTTGCAAATGATTAAGTTTTAGGAACAAAGCATCAAAGTAAAGCAGAGGGCAGTTTCAAGCCACATAGAAAAAGGAGAAGGAACACCGAATCAGTCAACCTTAGGGAAATGACTAACATTTTATTCAAACATAAACTATAGAGAACACACATAATGCTTTACCCAAGAATGGAAAAACTTGATCAAGATGAGGAGAGATACTTACTTATAGTAACTTGTCCTTCAAAGGAATTGGGCAGGTCTGTAACTGATGTACAATCTTCTTCATCGAGGGGAGCTATGGGGCAAGGGAAAAAAATGAAAATTCTAAAAATATATGTTAAGTCTATCTGCATTTCTATAACTTAAATTTTTGACTGTAAAAGTAATGGATCATTCATTGTAAAAACATATTTTAAACAAAGAAATGCATGAATTATCATGAAAAATCATTTTTTTATTCCAGAAACCAACAGAAATGATGGGAAGCCATGGTAGACATTATCAGTATAAATAGCATGAAAACTAAAAAAAAATAACATATGTTTCCATTTTTTTCCTTTTCTCTTAGTTTTTCTTTTCCTTTCTTAGATTTCCTCTACCCCTCCCATTTCCCTTATACCTTTAGATGTTTTTCCTATTAAACAATATCAACTATACATTTTAATTCTTATATACATTTTAGCTTATCACACCAGAGAAACTATTCAGTATTTACACATGTGTCCTATTAATTTCACTTAAGAGTAAGCCCTCAATGTGCATCCACTTAGCTATAAATGTCTCTAGTTTCTCATTCTTTATGGCTGACTAGTACTCCATTTTATTTAAAAAAAAACAAAAAACAAAAAAAACTTCTTTATCCAGTCTCCAATTGATGGGCAATTAGGCTGTTTCCAAGTTTTAGCTACTAGAAACTGTGCCACATGTCCCACATGTGTCCCACATGGGTGGGACTTTCCCAATCTAGTTTCTAAGAGTTCCAAACAGTGCTGCTCAGAAGGCTACCAGAAACATCTGTAGGTGATCATACAGTGCAAGGTACAGCCAAAATTCCTGAAGAAAAGATTGGGGAGTAGAGGTAAATGGAAAAGAAAGGAAAAAGAAGCCAAAGGGTATCCTCTCTCTCTCTCTCTCTCTCTCTCTCTCTCTCTCTCTCTATATATATATATATATATATA